GCAACACAGCCATCGTTCCACGCCGCCCATCCAGACATTCGTTTCGACCCATACATGATTCGATACCGCATTCCGCAACAAGACATTGTCCACGCGGCGTTGATTGCGTCGGGGGGGTACGTGCCAAGCATGGCGTCCGATACCGACACATGGTCGTGTAGCTTTGGTGTCGTGTATCGAGCGACGGTATTCGGTCGAGACGTTGCCATGAAGCAATTGGTGCCGTCGAAAGCGAAAGATGCCAAGGCGACGGCAGTACGTTGTCTCTCGACGCGATTCCAATGCGTACCGTGGGTCGTGGTAGGACTTTATGCGAGAGATTCGTCTGTGCGCTCGGCTCGACCACCCGAACATTGTCCGATTTGTCGGTGTGTCATGGTCGACCCTGGTGGACATGGCGGTCTTGACGGAATACATGCCACACGGAGATGTCCGCCAACTGCTGGAAACGGATCGGCAACACGTTGCAGCGAGGCAATTCCAGTGGGTGTGGCCAGCAGCCGTGTGTCCATCCAGAGTTCACACGACAAAGGCCAAAGTCGCGAGGGACGTCGCGATGGCGCTGCGTTATTTACATGGGCTGGACCCTCCGATCATTCACCGCGACGTGAAAGCGAAAAATGTTTTGCTCAGCAGCACGTACGAAGCCAAGTTGAGCGACTTTGGCATTTCGCGAATAATCACGACGGTCGATGAAACCATGACGAGCAATGTCGGCACGGTGGCATGGATTGCCCCCGAGGTACGCGCGACATGGATGTCGTTGTCTTGATCGCACCACGTAGATCTTGTGTGGAGCGAGATACTCGACCAAGGCAGACATGTACAGCTTTGGTGCGTTGCTCTCGGAAATGGATACAATGGAGACGCCGTATTCGACCTCTGGCCACTCGGGTGATGGCTTTTCGAATGCGCGCATCGCCCTGCTCGTACGTTGTTGTGTTTTCCAGGGTTGTCATGTCACGGCGAAGATAGGTGAGTCAAGGGCAACTCCAACCAGCCTTTACGAACGCGATGCCTCGACCATTACTCGAGATGGCGCAACAGTGTCTGTCCTTTCGGGACGAAGCACGACCGTCGGCCGACGACGTTATCCAAGTCCTCGAATCGTATCTCCAACACCCTGCCTAAGGCAAAAATTTCCAACAGTTGACCGCGGGGACGGACGGGCGAGTTGTAAATGGACTTGGATGACACGGCGACCGCTTTCGTCGTCGTTGTGGCGTACGACAGGAGCTATCGACGAAACACACCAACTTGTCGCTAGTCACGTAGTGGGGCCGCGGCAATATCAAGTGAAAGGGCTCCATGAGCAACGGTGGAACGGCGCTTGGACCGATCCATCCTGACGGTTTGCTTACGGGGGAATGCTGCACCACATGACCACCGAGGCACCATCGCTTGGTACACAAAGTCGTGTGGTTTCTCGAACGACATGTCGTTGACAAGCTGCACTTGCGACGAGTGGTGTGCACTCGTTCCACGTGGAGAGTGCATCCCCCGACAGGCAACGCATCGAGGTTTGTCGATATGGCGACCTCGATATTCGCGCGGACAAGTGTTTCACCGCCGCTATGAGACCCATACCTCCGACCCATTCTTCATCTGGGACGACGACTGTTTGACGCCAAGGTGTCGCACGTTCCGATGCTTGAATACGACATGGGAGCGCCTATGTGGACGTGCCTCGTTGTCGATCTGTCGAGTCATGCAGAGGCAACGTCCGCGATTCGTCTTCATGCGTGGAGCTCGAGTTTTGGTGTCGACTCGATGACATCCAACTTGGTGCAACGAACACCTGCAATTCACGACGGTGCCATGACGGCAAGTCCAAGGTATTCGTTGTGGTGGGAGGAGCGCGCGTGGAGGAATCGTTTGTCGAGCCGACATGGACGTCCGCCATGCCTGGAAGAGCAAGTTGGTCGACGCGTTGATCGAGTGGCAAAAAAAAAACACCATGTCAGCATAACGACGACGGCGCTGACGTGGTGGCACGAAACGAGTACGTCGCGGCCGTCCTTCATGCTCGGCATGCGACGGGCTCTGCCTGGGGCGGACTGCGGCGATTGTACCTATCACGTGCAGCAAACGCAGGGCACACGCGGAGCACGTCAAGGGTGTCGTTCCGATTCGTTGGACGGGATCGCGCCAAGGGCAAAAGCATCGGTGGCACGTGGCGAATACGATGCTGCTTGACACGTACACAAGCGATCATACTGCGATGACCCAACCAACGGAACGACGACTTGAGGTTGTCTCTAGTCCGATTGTTCCAATTGAAACGTATATCCACGCGGCGGCGAGCGCATCCAAGGCGGCCAAGGGGGTTCGATTCGGGTGCCGACTGCTGCTGTCTCTCAAACGTACCGCAACAACGTCGTCCGCACTCGATCGAATGCGACCGCATGCAACATGAAAAAGCTCATCGAGCCAACGACGACGTTGCCCACGAATTTCATGCGGACGCGTCGTGCGCCTGTTGGCGGTCCTCGCTCGCGTGTCGTTGAATACACGTGCAAAAACGATGGTCGGGTCACCGACGGGCACTTTGCGCACGATGAAGCCCCCGCCCAGTAGATTCCACGGCGCTCAACTCTCAAGCTGATCCAAGAGTTCGTCGCATTCTCGTCGATCGTATTCTCGCAGCGCCTCCCCTTGCGCGCCACCCAACGTCCCAAGTTCTTGAGCCCCAAGCTCTGGCCATCCCACCTCGTGCCGTCGCAATCTAACGTGCGGTAGTAGTCTGAATGCTGGCGTTGGTCGAGTTTGGAACGCGCGACCAGTTGAATCGCATGGATCGATGCCGTTTGTCGACGCATCCACGTCGTATATGTACACACAGCATGTTAGGTCTGCCACAGGTGTAGAAATGGCGGAACGTGCCATGCTCTGGCCACGTGCAACGAAACCACGTCGTCGAGTTGCTCCAACTGGACCGTTGCCAAGGCGGAACACTGGACGCACTTGGACAACACCAGCGGCAGCATGTCCCACCCGTTCGCAAACATCACGTCGGCGGTCGTCGCGGCGGTGCACTCGTAAGTGGACGAATTTCCGCAGCACGGAATTCGCATGGCCACATTCGCACACAGCCGATGGTCGTGAAATTCCCACACGTCGATGCCGGCGGACTGCGCGATCGTCGCCATGTGGACCCAATCGCGCATCGTTGGAATCGAGACGCCGTCCGAGAGCATCCGCGATTGCACCGTGTCGGCATGGTATCGATACACAGCAGGCTCGTCAAAGTAGGCCGCAAGACTCGCCATTTGCATATCGTAATGCATCCCTAGCGACAACAACAACGTCCCAGCAAACACGAAATCGCGACGCCGATTACCACGTCGACTGGCCGAACGAAACCAGCGAGATGCCACGTTGGGTCGGTACGCTTTGTCGAGTGCCAAGTCGTCGTAGTACTTTCGAAGCCACGTCCGTACGTGGAGCAGAACGCCCGACGTGTACGCGTCCAAGTGGCTGTCGTGGAAAAGTTTGACCGTGTCGAGAAACAGCGGAAGCGTCCGCATCGTCATCAACTGGCCACTCCTCACAAGCTTAGCTAAAAGCATGGCCATGTCGTTGCATGAAAAACGAGCTCCACACACAAAAAGAACCGCACCTGGATGCGGGAGTGTGCCGTCGGGTTGTCGAATAAACCACTGGTGCAGCAATTGCAGCGCATGGTGCGCGTAATCTTCGTTGTTCGAGATGAACGACCCAAACACGAGCGCTGTCAAGTTGTACACCATCGATTCAAACGCGACGGACTACGCATGAGCGCTTTGATTTCACGATCGAGATGTTGGCCGCGTTTCAACGAGTGGATTCGTCCGTACCACGTCCTGGGGAGTTGCCTTGGCGCGAACAAATGATGCAGTTGGCATCGCCACCAAACGCATGGCACGATCAGCCTGCTTGAGAACGTCCACCACGATGGCGCGGTCGTTGTCAGGAGGGTCAAGTGGGGATGTATCCACTTGGGTTTGGAAAAGTTGTTTGGCTCGTAACAACTTGTGTTTGCTGTACACGACCAAGTTGGTCGGGTGGAATTGCAAGACGTCGCGCATCACTTGATCCTCGAGCGACTCTAGCTGTCGAGCAATTGCTTCTGCTCGAGCCATTTCCCGGTGAAACCTACCCACTCCGTCAGCGCCATCGAGACGTTCGAAGTGACGGCAGCACTAGAGACCCTCACCCAAACGCTTGGTCCTCGTAGACTGGGTTGCCAGAATAGAGCCGAATCACAAACCCAGTCGATGGAACTTTGGGACGGTTGTCCGTGGAGCGGCGACTTCCATCGCTGGACGGATTGTCAAAGGTTCGCAAGCGCTCCCATGCCGACCAGCCCCATTCAAACCACACTCCTGGGACATTCAGCCGAATGAGCAAAGCTGCCTTGTCGCGGCGACCGTATCTATGCAGTAGAGACATACACGCGTGTGTCACTGTCCTTCATGCACGCGAATGTTCAAAGCGAATTCTTGTGCAGAGGGAAGATTGTACCGAAGTGCTTCGTCAAATCGTTCGGTGGCGTCCCGGCGAAAGATAATCTGCGGCTCTTCCCATGCATTGGGTACGTACGCTGGATCAAGCACCACGTCGTTCTCGACTTTGAGTCGGTCCATCCAGACCACAAAGTATTTGATCGCATCTGCACAACATCGCCGTGTGTGTGCATAAAACGAAGTTTGGCATGGCAGTACCGTCGTCAACGGCGTCTGGAGTGAACAGGTCGTGGGCAATCATGTCCCACGCCTTTGATGTCAGGAAGCAGTTTTCATCCCACGGGAGAATCCACTTGGCTCCTTTGGCAATGCTATCGAGCCGTCAGAATATCGTCACAACGCGTGGTCGTGCGGAGTATTGTACCCGAGCTCGATCATGGCATTGCGAGCATGGTTGATGCTCATGGCGTACAAGTTCTTTGCGTCATAGATACTTGAAAGGAGGAGATTTTGATTCCACTCGTCGAGCGTCGCATTCGAGTGCAAGTGGTCGGAGTTGTCGTCTTGGTCGAACAACGTGAAATGTGCGTTCGCGTACTCTTCCAGGACGAAAGGAATGCGACTGTAGCTATAACGATGGTGGGATGCGAGTTTCTTGCTCGAGGAGATGGTGGCACGAGTAACCTGGCGTTGTATTGATCGAGGAGGGACATGATGGCTTGTTCGATGGTGGAGTTGAGCAGGCGGTTCAAGACCCAGTGTTTCTGGACTCGAGAATCTTGAAACTCGTGGGCGAGGACAAACTCGAGGTTAATTAGCGTTCGTGTGGGGTCGTGGCTAAGGAGTGCGATGATGCATTCGTCCTGGTGGTTGCTTTGGTCGTACCGAGGAGGCAACGCGTTCCCAATGATTCGAGCAAAGAAAACGGCGGCTGGTGGCGTCACGGCTATGAAGCTGGATGAGACACAAAGGCGCAGCCGAAGTCGTCTACACAGAGGTACCTTTGATGGCGACCCGTTGAAGTTTGGTGTGCTCGACAACTTCTTGGCTCGCCGTGCTCGCCTTGGCACTTGCATGCATCTTGGCTCTGGTGTCCGCGCGCAGGCTAAGCGCAGCCGGGCGCAAGCCCATGGTAACATGCCACGTCACCGCCACAGACACGACGAACAGCCCGAGAAAGATCGCACGCAGCCTGGCGACGCTCCATCGTCGTAGCTTCATCCGGTGAGTTGCACGTTTGGATCGCACTACGATTCAAAAATCATGGAAAGCTGTGTTGAGTGAAAAAGGTTGTGTCGAGTAAAACGTATGTCACTGACGTTTTATTCCTTAACGTCGTGGGTTACGTTAAATACCCACTGGGTATTTAAGTTTAATCTCACGGGAATGACGACGTTAAACCAATGTCATGTGAGTTGTGTTGTTACCACAATGAAAAATTCAAAGCGCTGAGATGGTCGAAAGTTGTCAAGCTTCAGGATATCCGCGTGCGACGACATGCACTTGGACACGGTTTCTTCTATACCCAAACCAATCATTTTCTATCGCTCGATTGGCACTTTGACAGTGAAGAGTCGTACCTGTCCAGATGTATTGACGACACCTACATTGAAAACATGTCCATTCAACGATGGAATAGGGAAATGCTAGTCAATCGTTTTGAACTTCCAATGATTTGCACCATACGAAGCGCAACGTATTGTCCAATCAAGTTGATATCTCTAGGGCATGTGGCTTTGTATTGTAGCTCATGAGCGATGGCGTGATGGTGGTTCGAATTGAACGTAACGGGGTGATTGATACGTCAGCTTTCACCTCGTGCATTGTTAAAACGTAGGTTTTTACTTTAACCCACAATTCCAGTTTTTTACTTTAACCCACAATTCCCACCTGAAATAAAACGTATTCAAACCATCACACGGTGAGAGATGGATGAGGAAGGTAAGGCGCCGGATTGGGGAAGGGAAGCACTGCGATGTGGATGAGTCCATGAGGTTGGGCTTGAGTTGCGCGTGTGTGTCCTCTTAGATAATGGAAAGGGGTATGCGTGGGAAGGCTCGTTTGAGCGATCGTGGGATGGCATTGAAGAAGACGAGAGTGGTGCTTTGAAAGTTCAAGCACTAGTGACGTCCTCAGGGGACAAGGCACGCCTGCGACGACAGCAAATGCTGCAGCGTGTACGCAAAGGTATTTCCTGTCTCCTTTGTCCATGCTCCTGCTCATGATCGGCAAACAGGACTCATTCGATACGTTTACGTTGTCGTGGACTTGTCCAAGGGAATGAGCCAGAAGGACTGGAAACCGCATCGGTGTGCCGTCGTCACGGAAGAAGTCCAGCGTTTCATCGCCGACTACTTCGATCAGAATCCCATTTCCCAGGTTTGACGATCGAGTGTGCGTTCGATGTTGTCATGCGATGTGAATAGTTGGGACTGATTGGAATCAAAAGTGCCATTGCTGTGAAACTAAGCGACTTGTCCGGGAACCCGACGCATCACATCGACGTCCTAAAGAGTACTCTGACCGTCCACGGCGAACCCAGTTTGCAAAACGCCCTGGAAATGGCTCGCAATGCATTGAAGATTGTGCGGGAACATGCACCTTTTGTGACCGCCGCTCACGCGAGGATCGTCGATAGGTGCCTTCGTACGGGTCGAAGGAAATCATCGTGACGTACGGCAGCTTGACGACGACCGACCCCGGGGACATCTTTGCCACCCTGGCCGCGCTAAAACGGGACTCGATTCGGTGTTCGTTCGTTGGCATTGGCGCCGAAATGCACTTGCTCAAGCGAATCGCCAAGGTAATATGGCATTTTGGAATGAACGGATTCCGAGTGTCGACATGATCGCGAGGTGAAAGCTCTGAATCGTTGGCGATGTCTCTTTTGGTGCTTTCTCGACAACCCGATGCGATTTCTCGTTTTGAATCGGGTTCAACTCAGAGACGAGTGCCCGTCTCTCTCGAGTTCTCGGACAGATTGTGTGCTACCTCTGTCCTGCGCATGACGCGGCTCGAACGTAAAGCGTTGACTCGGTGCTAGGAAACCCATGGAACGTACTCGGTCGCGATGGACGCGCCGCATTTCAGAGACCTCTTGGCTGCTTTCACCACACCATGTCCGAGTTTGGCGTCGTCAGTGGCAAAATTTGCAACGCTCGTCGAGGTAGTAATACGGTCGTGGTTGTATGGGCACTCGCGGAGTGACGTGTGTGTAGATGGGATTTCCTCAAAAGCGCAGTGGGGTGCTGTCCTTGTGCGTGTGCCATCAAACGTTTACAACGTTGGGCTATCTCTGCCCACGATGTAAATCAAAGAGCTGCGAATTGCCCACCGTCTGCGTTGTGTGCAGTTTGCCCTTGGTACGTTTCGACACCAGACATCGTCATCGTCTGCTTGAATTGGACGATCGAGTGGTCGGTAATTCCTGTGGGTGTGTGCCTCGGGGCTGTTTTTGGACGCGGTGTTTGTTTTGGAATGAACAGCGAAAGAACGGAAATTTACGCCAGCGCTGCCGCGTGGTGGATAGGTGTCGTCGCCGCATTTGGCTCGGTCATACCACCATTTATTCCCGATCGTGAATTTCGACAAGGCCACGACTGCAACCAAGTGCTTTTCGTGCCTTTTTCCACTAGCCACGTCGTCGTACGTGTGCCCCACGTGCCACCACTCGTTTTGCAGCGACTGCGACATGTACATTCACGATTCGCTGCACAATTGTCCTGGCTGCAAGTAAAAAAAGGACCAGCGCCGCTCGTTTTTCCATCATCCACACCAATTCCTCTCGACAAATTCATACCCCAACACGTTTGTTATCGCCGATTGCTCTGCTCCCCTTGCGCTCTCAACATGTCG